TTTACCGAGTTTCAATTGTTTCATCTATCTATTGATAGATCACAAAGAATTCTATATTGTATCATCGTTTAAAATTTTATTGATTCACTTTTGAAAGAAATAACAGAAAAAAATTACTTTTTTTTTTGGATAACGTAAAATTGATTATCAACATATAAACTCTTTGAGTTGTGTCCTTTTTTGGATTTTCTACTTTCAACTTTATGTTTTACGATTAATCAATCTTTTATCAATATAAATAACGTATATCAGGTTATTTCTTTAAATTTTATTTTATTGCTACAATGAATATATTGATTAATAACTCTTTTTTTCTCTTCGACATAGGATGTAGTGAGGGAATGCAAGAAAAATCCTCGGATATTTGAAAAGGTAGAATATGACATTTTTTAAAAATAGAACGAGGTACAACATTTTTCTTTGTTCCACAATTTTCTTTTTTTCAAAAAAAAAATCAACCACTTTTTCTAGGAATAATTAAAAGTTTTCGCCAAAATGAGAGGAGACTCACTCTATCTCGCATATTCAGAGCGACTATTAGACTCAGACTAAAAGAATTTTATTGAAATTTGGAATACAATTTGGGCCTAAACATTTTTAATCCGACAGATCCTAGCGCAATCTTCATTTCCGTCGCCATATTTCCCGTATGAAACAGTAGAGAAAACAGTGGTATATTTAATTTCTACACATCCAACAACCACATTTTCATAGAAATTATTTCTTTTGTCCAATTATCAACGAATTATCACTAAAAATATTAAATCTAGTATTGTTTCATACTTCATTGGAATACTAGAAAAAGTTTACTACTTTACAAAACTTTTTTTTTTACAAATAGTTATATGTATAGATGCCGATTTACAAACATTATCTTGTTCTTTAACATCACAAATTAAATTATTTGCACAATTATACAAACTATTCATATGCTTTTTCATCATGTATAACTGTGTTCATAGATGAATTCTTTTTTACTATTGTTTTTCTTTTTTTGATAATATATATCTAGGACAAAATCAAATTAAATATGATATAGTATTCCGACGTCATTATTTTCGTTGATACGAATCATTCTAATCAATAATGAGCAGACAGTATTAATGTATGAGACAAAAATGATAGACAATAGAATGAAAAGAACAATATTCATAGTGTTCATTTACAAAAGGTAATAATAGTAAACGTGATCGTCAAAACAATGTACATCTACAAAAAAGACGTGATATCTTCGAGAATTTGTTTAACAGAAAACAAAATCATATATAAAGCATATTCTCTAAGTATCAACCCCATTTTTATTTTTCTTTGACTTTTGCTATGTTAAAAAATGAATAAGCATTGACAATAGATTTTTGAAGAGTAATATCTAAGTTATTATCCAAGAGAAATTATATTAATCCTAAAAAAATGCTAGATTAGTAAAAATATTAACAAAAAAAAAACTTTAAAAATGTCACAAGTGAATTAATCTGATCGTTATTTATTTTATGTCAAGATAAGAATATAATTATAGTTCAAAAAATAACGATAGCCAATCATTTACTCACTACAAATAACTTTTCTCATGTCCAAAAACTTTCAATTAAAACTTTTCAGGTCGCAATGACATTTAGTAAGTTATAATGAACCAATAGGACTCGGCTCGCGTCAATCTTCCATGCATATAATTCCTTGTGACACACATCAATTAAACCTATAATCTTTAAACTTCTGTCCCTGTTGTCTGAGTATGATATTATGGTGCTATTGCCTTGTATATGTATTCGAAAATAAATTTTCTTTCATTTGAATAGCGTAGAACAATAACGACTCATCGTGTGCGTAGCTGTTATTTTTTCTAATCCTGATAGAAAAAAATTTACAAAAACAATTTGATAAAATTTTTTATATATGTTTACTATAACGTAGCGCTTTGTTTTTTAAAAAGATTGATGCAAATTAAGTACAATTTCTCTTGTATGATAATTCAGATACCACTATTCAAAAATATATCGTCAATGCTCATTCATCTTTAAATATGGTTAAGACAAAAAAAAATGGAACCGATACATATCTACATCCCTTTATTTCATTGACTTTGATGGTGTATAATATTTTGTCTAATAAATAGAATTCGTAAGTCTTATCATTTTTCATTGTAAAAAAAAATCATTAAAAGAAAATTATTAAATAGCCGACTATTCTTTATGTTTTACCGAAAAAAAAAACCTCTTTCCATCCCATCCATAACGAATGTTTTAAAAGACAAACATACTCATACAAATATCAATATTATATACATAAAGAGAAGACAAAAAAAAGAAAATCAAGCTCGATAGATAAGAAAGAAATTGATTGGAATGTGTGTACATGAAGAGTAAACAACGGCTACAAAAAAAAAAGAAAAGAAAGTGAATATTTAGCAAAAGAATATAAGAGATTCACAATTTTAACACGGATGGTGTCTTTTGTAAATGAGAATTATTATGTGAACGATAAAGATCACCATCATCATCGTCACTCATACCACCATTTATTTGAGATCCACTTTGATTTATACTATTACTTATATTATTTTGTGTTTTTGGACTTTTTGTTGGAATTGTTGTTGATGAAACAGTACGTTTTAAATTAAATGTATCATTTTGTGGTCGAACAGTTATTATTAAATTATGACTATTAGCTACCATCATATCTGTTACTTGATCAAGTGTTTTTCCACTTACTTCAATACCATTAACTTCAATTATTTCATCACCAACTGATAATAAACCTGTTGATTCAGCTAAACCACCAGCAAGAAGACGTGATATAAATACACCGGGTACATTTTCAACACCATTGGGACCATATTTAATAGCAACACCATCACGTATATAAAAACCTAATGGTTTACTTTCTTTATAACGATGTAATTTAACACGACGATATGTAACAGGTAATATTTCAACATCAATTATTGATGAAACAAGACGAAAATCAGGTTGTATTTCAATATTACGTTGTGGTGATGAATTATTTTTATCTGATGATGAATGTATTAATGATGATAATTGATTGGATATTTTTTTTCGTTTTCTTAATGAATCATTTGAATATTGATAAGATTCACCTAGATCAAAAAATAAAATTAATTACATTTAGAAGATTAAAAAAAAGAACCTTTGTTTGTTTTTTTTCTTCTTCTCTTTACCTTTTCGTTGTATAAATATTCTTAATAAACCTGTATTAACACGTAAAATATGTTCGATAATTGTATCATTATTTATTGAAAGAAGTTCACCATCTTTATCTAAATAAGTTATATGAAATGGAATATTTTGAAGACCATGTAAATCTTCAATTAATTTATGAAAATCATCGAATTTTATTGGATTTTTTCGATCGAGTTCAAATCGACGAAATTCAGCACCGAACTAGAAAGAAAATATAAAATCAAATTAAAAAAATGAATAGAAAAAACAAAAAACATACTTTGCTTTTCACTTCCAGTAATGATAACATTTAGCAATCTAAAGAAGTTGTAAATAACTAAGATAACTGTATTCTTTGACACAAATAAATAAACAAATGAATAGAGTGTATGTTGTCTCATTTGTTCTGTTTTATAATTGGTAAGAAAAGATACATGTATAGATGGCGCTATTTTCCATTGAATAGATTATAAATATCAAAGTATGAGAAATATTTTTGATTAACTATTTGAATAGAATTATTAAAAGAAAATTTCTTTTTAACGAAGCAATAGATATATGTACCATTTATTTTTATAAATAAGGTGTATAAGTAAAAGTTCGTTACATAATCTAGAAAAATAAATAATTGTTCATTTTGTTATTTAATCCAAAATGTAAAACATATACATAAGATTAAGTAAATGACAAATATATACACATAAGTACTTCTTAATCTGACATAGACAATCAATTATTTGAAAAAAAAATTTATCTAACATTCTACGTCAGTAGAAATAGAAAAAAACTAAAGATTTGATTAGTTGATTGACAAACAACACTATCAATTAACAATTGTCATCATCATCTTTTTCTTTATTATGGATGTCTGTAGGATAATCACAGAATCATATTGAATCCATTTTTATACTGATTTTAATTCGACAGAAATAATACAACTTGATTATGTTATTCTTTTGTGTAGCAGTGCAAAAAAGATTTTTCTTTTTTACCTATTCATATTAGGATCGTTTTGTGATTGACTTTTTTTGAATATATATTTTTTTTTTCATTGGGTTTATTCCTTATCGTTACTACAAATTTATTAATTTTCTGAGAAGTCTCTTTGTGAACTTTTTTTGTATACTGTCCTCTGTTTTTTTTCAAGGAAATTTTAGTTCATTAAACATGTAAAATTTTCTTTGTTTAATTTATGACTGGATAGAGCGTTAATTTCTGCCTCTAGTTATATAGATTTGATCAAATTTCTGTCGGCTTTTACAAGAAAATTTTTGTAAACAAAAATAATAAACTTGGCTTTTCACAAATACAGAAATGGCTCAAATTTTAACAATAAAATTCAATGTTCTCTTTAATTTCAAGTCTGTTTTGTTTCATATTACCCACACGTTTTCCTCTAAAGCCGTTTTCATGATTAATGAATTCAATTTCAATAAAGTACGAGCGTGCGAAAGTCTCGTTTTGTTGTTTTTCAGAGTTTATCAAATTTTTGGACAAGACATGAAATAAATCAAATAGACATTATATGGTTCGCTAGAGCAATTGATACTCTATCTAACTACATCAAAATAAGAACTATTCAAGGTTTCATATAAATACAGCAAATTGAGTATATTACTATCAAAAATAATTTAATTAAGCTGTATAATCCTCTTCATCAATTATCTTCAAATTGAATTCATTGGAATGGTTCGTTTTTGTTTGATTTGTGTTTGACTTATTTGAAATCATATTAAAAAATTAAAGATTTCATCGACTACGTCATGAAAAACCTTGATTTAACAACAATCTATCCATAAATTCCTAGAATAGAATAGATAAAGGATGTTTGTAGAAGTAAGAAAGAGGAGCATCAACTAAAACTGAACAAAAGAGGTCGCATCGTAAATTTTGGATTTCTTCTTCTTCGACACCTAATACAAAAGAAACATTATTTAGATTTAAGATTTCTAATTTTTTTATGGAAACAATTGGTCAGAAGTCAAGTAACTGTCGAAGATATTGAAACCATCGATGTGCAAATTTTTACATTGATTAATGAAATCGAAAAGTCTGTTCAAGAAATTACTCAATCAGTCAATATCAATTATGATATAAATGATTTATTCAGTAGTATTTTGGATGAAATTCGATTTGAAGTTGTTAGTTTAGCTGGACAAACTCATGAACTTATTCCAGATAGTAAACATATTTCAATAATGGGTTCTAATTTTAACGAATATTGTAAAAGCTATGAAGACTATCGCCTTCATGAATTTAATCAACAGATTGAATTTATTTGACAGGGTTTATACAGTATTGTTTCAGGTTATTTTTTAAGTTTATGTACACTTATAGAACTCGAAGAATCCATATGTGAAAAAGCTAAAATAGATATAGAATTATTAAAATAGCATACAACCTATGGAGATCACTACAATTCAGATTCACCATGTATTCAACGATTTTAAACTGGCTTCCCACTACGCGTCTTTTTCCTCTATTTTAAGAAAATTTCTCTTTTTCTCCTCCTTTTGAATATAAATCCTCTTTTTCAGGGAGACTTAGATGTTAAAGGAAAATAGTCGATAATATTGACTTATTTGGATGAATCAATACACTTTTAACCAATAAGGTTCAATAATAAAGATGAAAATTGACCTTGAGTACTCATTGAGAGACCTAAATAGACACTAATTCCAATCCAAAACATTTTTTTAGTAAATTATTTTGGCGTGATATTTAATCGAATTAGCTATAATCAATATTTATTGAAGTCGAAATTTAGAAATACTAAAATAAATTGCGGTAGACTCATGTACGTGCAAACATAAAAGTTTGAAAATTAGGTGCTTGCGCGAAACAACAAGGCGGTTTCGAATATGAACTTAAACAGGATTTTCGATAATTGAAATTCAAGATTCTCGACTGCAGAACTGCGGAATCTGTCGTCAAAGTGATCAAATTTGCTCAAATAGGGAAATTATTTCCAAGACGTAGTCGATTAGCAAAGCAACAAAACATGACTTTTTTTTCGATAAGGCTCCGAAAATTTCGCCAGAAAATAAGTTTTCCAAATGCTCACTTGCACACGGTAGTAGATTCTGTATCTCTCATCGCCTCGAAGATGAAGTAGTGGTAACCTCTAACAAATTTTGTAAAAATTCGTCCCGTCATCAATATTAAAAAGGTACAGTTTTTCTACTCTCAAAGGAATTCGATAAAAATCGTGAAAACTGAACCGTAGTGTACTCAACATTCAGATTTTTTTCAAGTACAATTTTTCTTGTATATTACTCAATTCTAATTGAATTCCGAGTTATATTAAGTCTTTATAATTGATCAGAATTAGTATTGTTCTGTTCCCTGAAAGAACTTCTGATATCGTGGTAGAAACTCTTGTCACAGATTTGAGAAAGAAACTTTGAAGGCTTTCTTTGAATTGAATTTGTGGTATTTTCTTGTCATATAAATATGTACATCCTATTACGTCTTTTTTTGTTTATGTTAGCTTTTTATGCTCTCGTGCTTTTATAAACTGAACACATTCTGAATATTCAGTGATTTTCTTTTTAATTTCTTTTTCTTTGTCTACGAGTATTCGGGTAAAGTGATATCACAGTCAGGTACTTTTGAAGTAGACCCTGTCATTTTTGTCTTTTTTTGTAGTTCTCTTTTTCTGAGCTCGGCAGAAAAAAACACGACCACAAATGTCAAGAACTGAATATCGTTTTCATCTTTCGAGTTTTTCGAGTCTGTATTGAATCCAGATTAACGGCGCTCTAATTCATTGGCTTTTGAACATCGTGGTAGCCTTTGTTCGCATTTGAGAAGCGAAAAACAGCGTCTCTTTTGTTTCTCTTTTTTTATTAGGAATCCTCTTATTTCTGCAAATGATGTTCCTCTTTTTTCCTCTCTTTCTACGGACTGTCGGTGGGATGCCAGGTCTTAACCTCTCAGTTTATCTAAGTGGATTTTGATTCTATCATGTAATAAATTTAAAACATGCCAGAGAAGTCTCTTCAGCAAGGATGAAGCGTCATATGATGCTCTGAATTTCAAATCTTATCTTCTATATATTGAATTGCATTTCTATGTAGCTATAATATTACGTTACCGCCTGATGAAGTCATGGCATGACAGAAACAACCGTTGCGTGGATGGCTGATATCTACTCACACATCTACACTCTCGGATCATCCGAATAAATACCTAAGTCTGAACCATTTGATGAGACTCTTAAGCAAGATCGAAATCGTGATCATGGTTTGCTTGACACATCCACACCCTCAAGGAAGATAAAAAAAGATCGAAATATTCGTATTAATTATACCATTCATGAATCTGTGGAATTGCCTGATGTTCTTATTGAAAATATTCAAGAAAAATTGAAAACATTTGTTTTTCGCAAATCATCTGCTGAGACATACATATTTCCATATACATCAGATCACCACGTCATATTCATTCGAATACAATTCATACAGCCTGACTTCGTGCTATTCGTCTTTGTTCAGATATTGAAACATTCGATCAAGAACAATTGAACATTGAAATAATCTTACTTTTAAATGGATATCCATCAAAATTTATTCGACATCATTTTAAGCAATTCTTCAAAAGCAATGATGCGTTATCTAACTATGAAGATTTACATGCAGAAACATATCAAAAATTTCATAATAAATAAAAATCCCTCATAGAATAGAAGCCCACCCTATGATAGAAGCCCAGTCCCAAGTTTATAGTTTTCTGGATGTAACAGAAGTCCACTCGAAATGTGTATATATAGAGAAATCAAGAAGACAAATTATTGTATTGATAATTTTCAATTTTTTAAAATTAAATATTCATGTCGTCAATCTATTTCTTTCGTTCTGTGTATATCTTCTTGAACTGTTGAACTTCGTTCGTCAATTGTGATCATTGACGATTTTGTATGGAAAGAATAATTTTTTTTATTCTGTGTTCTAATTGACGATATAAAAACAATAGTATACACATTTTAATACTTATATTGCAACATTATACCTCTATCACTTCGTAACAGTAATTCAATTTCATTCAAGTTGTGAATAAAAACTTATTTGGTATGGAAGAAACTCACTTATTACCATTACATTCTTTAACTCAAGAAATTGATATCTAGTCTGATTCTTCAATTAGTTCAGATGACGAAGTAATTGAAAATGTTATTCAAATGCTTGATAATGTAATAGATTTATCGGATATTACCAACGAATTACACAACAATGAAGATGATGATGATCAACAAGCTGAAATTGATATTCTAATATCTTCCATGATTGATACAACAACTGATCTCATGCAACCAACACAATCTGATTACAGCAATGACAAATCCATCGAAGATTCTTCTTCAAAACGTTGATCTTGGACTATCCAAGAAAAACTAAATGCTATTAATGCATTTAAAAAATGCAAAAATATGTCTCAAGTTAGTCGACAACATCATTGTGGTAGAAAACAGTTTCGGGAGTGGTTAAAAAATGAACAACAACTATTACTTATCAAGGGTCCAAAAAATGGAAAAAAGTTGAAACGTTTAAAAGGTGCTAGTGCAAAAATTTAACACAAAGAACTTGATTAATAGTTAATACAATGGTTTAAATCAAAACGTACTGATCCTAAGGACGAAAAATCAAAACCACCAACAGAAATAAAAAAAAGAACGAATTACATTCAAAAATTTAGTACGTCAAGGTGAGAGAATATGTCTTTCTTTGAAGATTCAACCATATCTATCGAAAATTTAGTTTTGTCGTTTTCTAAAACGACATAACTTATCCTTGCAAAAGCCAAAACGGCAGCATAAGCTTACACTTCCTGAAGCTCATAGTAAGATTACTGAATTTTTAACATTTGTGAGAAAAAGTGCATCTCGAGTATTAAATTTAGGTGTGTCAGGATCATTTCCCGATCGTGACATTTGCAACGTGGACGAAAGTCCACTTGCTTTGTTTTGGGATCGAAGTAAGATCAGCATAAATTATGTGAACACACCAAATGACGTCGAAAGTAGTTTAAATAACAAAAGATTTTGTACTTTGATACTTAGTGCTTTTGGAGATGGTAATAGTCGAGTAGAACCAGCATTAATTTTTAAAGGAAAAGGATACATATCCGAAAAAGAAAAGACAGAATATGATAAAATCGTCAAAGTTTATTTCAGTCCTAGTGCTTTCATCATTTCGTCTATCATGAAAAACTATACTGAGCATTGGTTAAGTAAAACAAGAGATGGTCGTCCGAAAATGTTTATTACAGATTCCTGTAGTTCTCATTTTACTGAAGATGTTAAAGCTTTATTTAAAAAAAAATAGTGTAGTTTTAGGATTAATACCAGGTGGAATTACACAACACATTCAAGCCTTAGATATATACGTTTTCAGTGTTTTTAAAGCACATTATCATGATGCTGCTGAAGAATGGATAGAAGTTGATGGGTCAAGATCTACCATTAAACTTACTTCTTCACAGCAAAGAATATTGAGTACCCGTTTAACAAGCACAGCATGGAAACAAACATTAAAAATGTAAACTTTTCTCAAAGTTTTCGAGATTTAGGCTACACCTGGAGTGATAATAGCGTAGTAACAATCAAATCTTTACCAGGTTATTCTTTTGATCCGGAATCTTTGAATTTCGGATATGATATTGAAGATGAAACCAGTTTAGTAGAAGAAATCGATGAGGTAAGTGTTACGGAACCAGTCAAGGTTTTAAAACAAAGTGCATTATTTTCATTTTGGAAAAAGTAACTCTTGTTAATTGTATTGTTTTTTTTTGTTATTTTATATGGTATGTTTTATTATATTATGTGGTGTTTTTTTGTTCGGTGATAAAATCATGAAATATGTAGTATTTGTCCGTGTGAAATTACCTTGAAGTTTTTTGTAATAAAGATACAAAGTTATGTAAATAAACGAAATTGTGAAAGTACATGAAATTGTAACTATGGTACCTCCTAAATTTATATAAAAGGCTTTACAAAACGAAAAGAAGTTGATCCGTAATAGAAGCCCACCTTCAAACTTATAATTTTCAAAACAAATTAGAAGCCCAGTGGACTTCTTTCTGTGGGGAGGGGAAAGGTTTACTTAAAGAATCTAACATTTGTATTGAATCATCGAAGAAAGTAGAACAACAACAACTAGGAGACAACAACAACTAGGAGACAACAACAAAATGACAACGTTACAAAAAAACAAAAAGAACTTATTATACATTATCGATTTGAAAGTGGACTGATGAAAACATTAAGTTGTGAATTTAGAAAATTATGGAAGAAACATTTTTGCTATGGAAATTCATCATTAAACAATGTTCGCCTTATATTAGGAAGTCAAACCAACAAAACATTGGATCATTTATTAGTACCGAATAAATCCTCTCGTGACCTGCTAACCAAAAATGAATGATAAAATCGGACCGACAACAGCACTTGAAAGATAATGATATGACACTCTTAGTTTTTATTATAAATTTTTCATTGTACATATTCCAATTGATAAAATGAAATCCTAAATCTGCATACCATACGATCTCATAAAATCTCCTTCTATTTCTAGATTTAAATGTTATTTTAACCCTTCAAATGTCCTAGATATGAAACATGATGTAATAAAAATAACTCAATTACAACAAGTCTTTCCTAAATACATTCAGGGACTCCTTCTCAGAAATGGTTTCACACTTAGAATGGACCGTTTGAGCTGAATTTTTCAGGAACGATTGGTCCTAGTGAGAAACGCTTGTGATAAAAATTTCAGCCTGATATGCCCAACTAGACCAAACTTCCGACTTTTTTCCTATCTTCCAGAAGAATTGAAATAACTCCATCGTTAGAAGGGGCACAGAGTTCGGGTTGGTTTCAAATTAAAGCTAGCCTCTATGTGCAACTTTTCATTGGACAAAATTTTGAAACACCCTTCCATTCATTTTTCATGACCATTTTTGTGAACATGGTGTGCAAAATAAGCATAAAAAAATGTCACTCCACGACAATAAATTCCACTTTTCTCAGTTCTAGAGTCAAATATCAAAAAGCCGTCCAATGAAAAGTTAGCTCTGATAAAGACCTTTAAACAACAAAAAAAAACATCGATGATATCCCTAACTGAGGGGAGTTATTTCAATTTTCCTGTCTGGAAACCGTGTTTTGAGAGAAACGCTAAAGAAGTTTTAGAAATGGATTTTTTCATTCAAATCCAGAATAAATCATATGACAATGGTATATTTTTAATATATTCTAGTGGACCATTTTAGAGTGTG